TTTAATACTGTTATTCACACTTCTGAAAGGTTGAAAGTCTCGTCCTCCAAACTCCAAGAACCCCCCCAGCCGGAGTGGTGGGGGGGGGAATCCTGGGAGTTGAAGTCCAGACATCTTCAAGCTGCCAAGGTTGAGAAACACTGATCTAAACCATTTTATGATGGGAAAGATGCCTGGCCATCAAGATGCCATTTTTCCTGTATTTCCATTGAAAGCTGTATTGATGGTATCGCACTGTAATTTTGTAGCATGGCTACAACTATGGTGAGCTTTTATGTGTGGGTTATATGGGGAGAAAATGAATGGGTCCTTGGACTCAGATTACAGGTGAGCAACAGTTGGAAACTTATGTAAACAGAAAAGATCAAGCCAAGTAGCGGCTGTTGTTGTTTTTTCCAGGGATTGGGAAACTGACTAAAAGTGAATCCTGGGAAAGTATAGCAGTGATGGAATGAGAACTTTGCAGCAGTTCAAAGCTGCTTCTGATCTCACAACCTTGACTAGTTGGGGAGTTGATTTGATTTATTTCTGGCTCTGTGTCTATCTGAAATTATAGCTAGTTCCTCTTTTCAACACTGCAGGTCTGCAGAGCTTGTGGGCAAGCAATTTTCCCACCGATGGGAATTCTTGACTCACCCTGCTTCCAGGCTCCTGAATTACAGGCAGTAGGTCAGCTTTAAACTGCTGTGTGGGACTGGGGAATATAAGCATATGGAGATCCTCAGATAAATTGAATGTATTCATAAACTAACAGCCATAATGTTTTATAGTTAGAGTCTAACCTTAACATTTAAGACCTACTTTTCTCAGATTTGAGGATAAAGGATTAGGATTAGGAAGTTTGCAAAGGAAAAAAATCCAAGACAGTAATAATGTTAGAAGAGCCAGTATGGTGTAGCGGTTAAGGCAGCAGACTAGAAACCAGGAGACCGGGAATTCTAGTCTCGCCTTAGGCACAACGCCAGCTGGGTAACCTGGGCCAGTCTCTCTCTCTCAGCCCTGGGAAGAAAACAATGGCAAACCACTTCCAAAAACAAAAACCCTTGCCAAGAAAATGCAGGGACTTCTCTAGGCAGTTGCTGGGAGTCAAAACTGACTCAAAGGCACAAAAACAATAATGTTAAACTTACGGATAAACTTCAGGTATCTTTTGGAATTGATTAGTTTACCATTTAAATTGCACCTTTTCTTTTCAAATACTCTGATACAACATGGTTCAGTGTATTTGCTTTAATAAACTAATCTGAGCCACTTATATTTTACTTTGATTTTAAGGGGGAAAAAAAGGACAATGGTGGAAACAGTACATAGGAAATTTGCTAAGACTTTTATAAACTTTTTTTAGGGTTCATAAATGTGTGTAAAACATTACTAATCAGTTATATCTCAAGCTCCCTCTTTTGGGGCCATATCTACACTACCCAATCCCAGTATGGAGGGAACTCAGGAACAGATGCTCTGTGAGAGGACAGAAGTTCGTGCAGTTAAGCCATGATGTAACTGATGCAGTGTTATCAGAGAAGATTAGATCAGTGAATTCCTCGAAATATTGCTTCAAAGAAAATTAGTAGGATCCATCAACAATAAACAGAAACCACAACCCAGGAGCTCTCAGTCACAAAGGGAAAACATTTTCTTGCTTTGTGACCAAATCTTCTTGGAAAAATAACTGGGAGATTGTTCAGCCTATCCCCCAGAGAAAACTATAGAGCTGAAATAGAATGTGTGTAGTGCTTTAAAGACTAAGGACCAAAGTAGACGTGACATTTTTCATGTAGTTTGCTCCTGCATAAGGGAATCAATGTTGTATCGGTACTGTGTCATGGAAACTGGAATACTTAATTCTGTTACCCATGCTGGGAACATGCCCCTTCCCCTTATGGTCTTTTTTGTATACCATCTAAGCACAGTGGAAGCAAAACTCTCAATGGTTCCAACAAACTCACTATTTTCACACAGAGGGCCATAGAAACCTGGGTAGCATCGGCAGGTGTAGTTCCCAATAGTCTCCACACATTCACTGCGCTCATTGCAGGAGGAAGGTTGACAGGAAGCTGCATAGAAAATAGAACTGGATTAGAATTATGCCATGAGCACACTAGAGATTTAAAACTTTTCTGGATTCTTTCAATTACAGGATTTCTTTTGGGGGAAGAGCCATGTCAATAAAACTGGGAAGTACCTTATAGCAGACTGTAAGGCAGTTATAAGGATCTTGTGGTCAGTTTCCCTTGCACTCAGTCCAACATGTGATCCACTATAATGCTGCTGTATGAAAAATGATGGTAAACTAGGAAAAACTGGGTAGAACAGGGTATTTTGGCACTTGTTACCATAAAAATCTTCATTTTCACTTAGTAACATCTGAAAATCAAAAAGTGACAAATTTTGGGTTTCACCTCTGTTGACTCTACCTCCCATCAAATTGCAGAACTGAGCTTGTGTAATCTTACACCTGAATTATCAAAGGTTAATGTGCTGTATGAATGCAGCCACAATGGCATGAAAGATAATATTTGACATGGCTATCACAAAAAATAAATAATGTATGTTACTATTTTCAACCCTCACTAATTTCTCTGTTCTGAGAACAGAATGTTTTTGTACGGGAACATTCTTTAGAAAATTCCATTAGCAACTGAACTCTAGCTAGCCATTTTCATGCTAAGAATACATCTGTTCAGGAAACAGGCATTATGGGAGTATCTTTTAAAACTTAACATTAGAAATCAGTTTCATCTTTGTACTATCTTGTAGTGGCTTTTTAGTATCTAGAATTGTTTTGCAGGTATTTCTACTACTTTAGATGTCAAATTTATCATATATTCAGTAAATGCAGAATACATTTTATTATACATTTCAGGTAATCCTCAATGTTAATTTCTTCTTTGACTCAAAAAAATGCTTTCTTTTTTATTGTTTATTTTTGCAATTCTTGAATAATTTCCAACACCACAGTTGGTATTGGATACAGCATACTTGCTCAGTTCCTAGATGAGACAGGCTGCTGTTAAAAACAGAGACTAGGACCAGTGAAACAAATGGCAAACAATATTAGAGCCTTCCACATGACAATTTCCTCTCTTTGCTGTTGATTGCATGATGCCAACCCAATCCAAAGTCAATCCATTTCAAACTTCATAAATCTAAGTGTCTTTTTTTTTCTTTCCTTGCTACAGTTCTACATGGAAATTGGATTCCAGTAGCCTAACCTATGCTTATGAGTATTTGTTTTCTTTTTGGAAGAGTATCTTCCATTTCCCACCACCTCCATGTCCATTTCTATTGGCCTACCTCAGAAGAAACCCTGGACTGAAATTTCCAGTGTGAAGTCTTCAGTGGGCTTGTAACTTTGAATGACATACCCTGCCTGCAACCCTGCTCTGCATCATAGAGAGAAGTTGACTTCTCAATGTGTTTGCATTTGCCAACAGTTTAAAAAGTCAGTTTTCCCTTGCAACTATTCCATGTAAGCACATCAAGAAGAATGCTTTGCAGACTACTGGACAAATGCACACATAAATATATCAGGATTTATTTGAAGATGGAATGGCTGGGGATGAGGTAGTACTGCTAGCATTTTCTGTATAGGTTGCAATATTTATCTGAAGTAATGACAAAAGAAAGTCCAGTTTAATTTGGGTGCTCATTATATTGGTTTTCTTATGATCCTCATGAACTGTTTAGTTCTTAATGGGTAGAGTCACCATTCCAGAAAAAGTCAGTGAAGTTATGGGCATGTCTACATTGCCTAGTTGTGCCATTGCCAGAAAAGAAAGGGACCATTTTTTGAGAGCAGAAATGGACAATGTCAGTTATTACCTCTGTCCCATTGCAAATTTGATACCAAGCACATTTTCCTGATGCAGTCTTTTCCTCTAAAAAGTAGTTTTTTTCTCTTAGGTCCCCTTGATTGCTTTTTCTGCTTTAGTGGAGTGTTTTACTTCGATACAGGCTAACCTCAACAGTTCATTGGCTACTGTACTTCCAGAGGAAAAAAATGCTCCCTCAACTGAGGCAATAGTTGCTCTAATCTAAGAGCATCCTCAACTTTCACAATTAGTATTAAAATAGCACAGTGGCTAAGAGTGTTGCCTAGTATGTAGAAGGTTGTTGGTTTGAAACCCAGCAGAACCTTTTAATTACTGTATTCTTCAGCTAGCTATCCAGAATTCCTAACTAGTCAAGGGCTTTTTAAAAAAGAGTAAGTGCAATTTTCCACCATTTCATTATTTTTCTAGTTACCATGATTGGAGGAAAAAATGAAAAGGGGAACCCTGCAATTTTTTTTAAAGCCTCAGCTAGCTAGCTAAAGGAAAGAAAATAGTAATTAAAAATAAAATTTCTGCTGTGTCTCAAACCAGCAAGCCTGTATATTCCTTTTTATTACCAGTGTCAACAGAGCACAGGGGCAAAGCTTTTAGTCTCTGTGCTGTGTTGACACAGGTGATAAAAAGGAAGGTATAGAAGATATGAGAATGCAAAATAGTTGGCAAGAAAGATTTTTTTAAAAAAAGTTAAAGTTGGTTGTTATGCCTGCAAATATATGCATTTTGATATTTTGACTTACTATATATACACGTGAAAACATTTTACTTATGTGCATCTCTCTCTGTTTATATATATGAACATATAAAAATATGCCCAGGAAGGAAAGCTTTCCTGAAACAGAAGGTGGGATAACACAGCAGCCAGAGAATTGCCCATTAAGAGGATGTGACACCCTGCAGCTAGACAGAATGCCTTGCAAGTTTTTTTGGAGCCTTTCAGTCTTGACAAGTTTTTCTTGAGCCAGCTTAAACTTAAGTGTCCATGAGCACAGCACAGGAACAACTTAAATCATAAGTGCAAACTGCCCTAAGAGCAAAGGTGTATAATAATTATAGGTTCTTCTCATCTTCTCACAGAACTTACCTTTATAGTATAAGAGGATACAGAGTTGATTTCTGCATCCCTAGTATTTTTTTTTTCAGGACTTTTGCAACTTCAGAATTGCAAATTCTAATTTCCCAGTTATTATTATCCTGTTGCCAGGAACTGGGTTGTCTGCACCGTGAGGAACCCATGACTGATTATAACTCTAACAGCAAGAAACTCTGCATCCACCAGGTCTGCAAGCAGACCTCTGGAAGTGAACTATTTGAATGAACTAAGACCATATCTCTTTAATCTTATGTTTGATGGGTTATTTAATGCTGCAGTTCCAACTATGGAAGAACTTAAAATCAAAATATTTTACGTTTCATTGCAGTCTAGCCCCCTGTGACTAACATTAGCTAAGATTATATTCATGCAACATACTATACCACAAATTTAGCCAAACAAATGTTAACCTAGCATGTTTCGGCAACCCAGCCTGTGTGGTCAACTTGTAGTTCAAATTATCAAACTATTCCAGAAAACTGAGTTGAGTAATCCATGCCTAAATTAATCCCAAGCTAGTACATCACGCAAACAGTATCTGCCATATAATGCTAGTAGTATACAGAAGCTTTAATAAGCCACTCAATATGGAATATTTCACTACCTTTATAGCATAGTGCCCGTTTTTTCTTCCAGCAAGGCTCATCATTCCATTTTCCAGCTTCAACATTCCTCTTAATGTAAATCTCAACACAATCCTGGTTGGACAACCTGTTGTTAGGTTCCCGAAAAGCCCAGTTCTCTGCCTCTTGAGTCAGGGCCTTTTGGGTTCCTACCCAGGTCCAGGTGTTGTTTATTTTCCTGATCCCAATCCAGTAGTACTTTGAATGTTTTGGTAAGACTGCATTGAGATGGACAATTTCTTCTTTGTTCTGGATTGCTACCAGGTCAGTATACCAGGTCTGGCAAAATGTCCGTGCATCTTCCCAGTTTAGGTCTGACTTGGCTCCAAAGTGGTAAGTCCAGGCATCCACATGAGATAGGAGTCCTGCCAGAGCAACAAATGGCATCAGGAAAGAAGAAGCTTCAGTTAATACAACTGAATATTATTGCAAACAATAATGTACCAAGCCGTTTAAAGGCCACACGGCTCTCCTCACCCTGAAAAGGGAAGAGTGATCTGTGCCACCTGTTTAATAGACAGAGGCTCTCTGATCCTAATCATTGCCTGCATGACAGAAATTCAACAAGTACAACTTTTCTGAAATAATATAGAAGAATTGCTGTTAATATTTTCTGGCTATTAAAAGATCTTAAAGAAGGTAGGAATATATCATCTACAAAGGAGCTATCTCTGGCCATTTATTCAAATATCAACATGTCAGGCTTGTGTAATGTTTTAGTTTCATGCCTTGTCTTCATAACCTTCCTTGGACTGGAAAAAAATCCAGTTTTATGTAAGTGGGCAAGTCAAAATCTATAAAATCTATAATCAATGTTTATAAATGATATGTTATTCCAGTAAAGTAAAATTCCTGTCTTTTTTTATTATTAGAGAAAGAAGAGATCAGTTTCTCCCTGGAAAGCCCATTAAAAACCCCTCTGAATAAAATAAATACAGATTCTATTTTTTTATTATTCAATTTTTAATACTCCTATGAAACCACTGTCATGCATTGGACATTTAAAAAAAATCTTAAATATTATGTTTGATTTTTTTTTTTAACCAAAAGGTAACAGCTACGTCCTTGGAAACTTTTATATTTTTGAGATTTAAATATTATTTCATTCTTATCGAAACCACTTCGAACTCAGAAAATAGCATATAGGACTTTGCATTAAAGTCTTTCTTTTGATAACTACAAGAAAGAGGTCTTTGCTTTCTAAAAGATTACATGCTACAAAGAAAATGTCACAGTTGTGGCCATTCCAGGAAATTGTCCCTGACAATGAGAAGTAAAGTATCTGGCTTTAACACGATTTCCAGTGAAACACGCTAATTTGTTTCTGGAGTGGTGCTCACATCAGATTCAAGCCAGCCACAAATACATTTTGGTTTTTACAACTCCCAACCCAGAGTTGCTTAAAATAAAACTAAAAACTTATTTTCACTAAGTTTAAAGATTACTTACCCCAACTAATAATTGTAAGCAAAAAGTAGTCATTTGTCCATCTGTACCAGAACTGCCCACTAGCTAAAGCCTATGGATGAAAAATAAGAATGTACTATTCAGTCATGACCTTTAAATCCAAATAAATTAATGGAAGTCCAGAAAGCTTGCTTACTTGTTATTTATTGCAATGGAGTCAAATCCTGATTGGTGGGCCTCTATGTTACTGCACACACCCACACGTACATGCACACGCACACACATTTACTGCTATTAATAACTCTTTATGGTCCCCAAATAGTGGCTCAAATCTATCACTCTCCCCATATACAAGAAAGGCGATAGGCAAAATCCCACTAATTACTGCCCAGTTTGTCAATAATTAGTAAATTTTATGCCAGATCTCTATACCATTGATTGGATCCATTCAGAGAATGTCTTAGCCTCTGAACACATAAGTTTTAGATCAAGATACTCTACCATAGATCAATGTCCAATTCCCTACGATTTAGTTGAAAAAAGTACTCTAGCGCTTCTAAAGGAACCTTTATTGATTTAAAGGTGGCCTTTCACTCAGTCCCTCATGACAGACTCTGCAAAAAATTAGCCAGAACATCCACTGATCATCAGTCTTCTCAGATTGATAAATTCATTATATCAAACCACTGTGATGCAGATTAGAGGCAATTTAATGGTGATTTAACCATCCCCTTTCCTATCCTCAGAAGAGTTAAAGAGGGCTATATTCTTGTCACTTTGTTGTTCAACTTCTATATAAATGACATCATAGGGGCCCTTACTAAACCTGAGTTTCACCCTCCAGTAGCTGCCCATTTCAGTTCTTTAGTATGCAGGGGATGTGGTTGTCTGTAAACCAAGTGGGCTATTGTAGATGCCTAGCTGATACAAAAGAATTGAAATGGACAGCTATTGGAGGGTGAATTTCCCTGGTGTTCTAGGGAATTTCTAAAACTAATTACTTAAGAACTAAGGGTTTAATTTTCTCTAGAAAGCCTTTTAAGTCCCCTATTATATTGGAAATTAATAAAATATCAATTGATCATGTTAAGGACTTAAAGTATCTAGGTATTCACTTCTAATATTCTTCTTTTTGGAATAATCCATTGAGTGAGCTCTGTCAGATCTCAAAAAGTCATACTTAGTGTACCCCAACCAACTTCAAATGTCCTTACTCAGTTACAGCTTGGCTACATCTCTCCTGGGTCCTGCCTAAAACTCTGCTATCTCAGATTTTGGCTGAAACAAAGTTTGTGCAGTTCACTTTAGCCTACTGGGTAGGTCTTCCCATCCCTGAGGAGATGAAATGACCCCACTCTGGTATATTCATGCTCCTATACCATGCTCCTATATCACTTGGCCCAGATAAAGCCTTAATCTAATTTAAACAGAGGATTTGGGATTTAGACCTACAAAATGACAGGAACAAAATAACCCACCCTTATTATGGTATGATTGCAGGTTCATCCTGGACAATTCCTAGTTACCTTTATAACAACTTAAGTTATAGAGTCAAGTTCCAAAAAGGGAATTTTTTTTACTCTAGTTCAACTTGGTGCATTACCTATTATGGAGACTGTAGGCAAATATAAACTAGTCTCCCATACAATAACCGTATGCATGTTTGATCAGATATAGAGCTTGAGTCAGTAACACTTGTACTGTTACACTGCTCATTGTACCACCCATGGTGCCCGGCACTCATAAACCAGATTGTCAGAAATTTTACTGGTCTTTCTGATCAAGAAATTACAATTTTCCTTCAGCAAGATCTAACTTGAGCAACCACTATAAAGGTTTCTAGCAATATCTATGGCTTGCAGAAGTCTGCTGGTACCCTCTTTTCATTATTAATTTTTTAGGTTTGGTTTTTCTGTATTTTAAATTCTGTATTTGTGTTTCATTGGTCTGGAACCATAAATAAATAAATCAAAGTGTTTTCGGGCTAAATGGCTGTGGTCTAATTTTCTGATATTCTGATGTTTTGACAGCATCTGTGGCCAGCATCTTCAAAAACTAAGTGAACTGCTCAATAGTGTAATTCGGCTGTTTGATCTTTCATTCAAACTACTCTCTAATTGGATCATTTAATGGGAGTCAGAGAAAGATGATTCCTGATTAGTTCTTCATCCAGGTGAATTTTCATATGATCTAACGTGAGGAAATTTGAAAGGAAACTGATTCCTAGACTGTAGCTAGGTGTTTCTCCAGGTGAGGCTGCTGTAAATTTCCTTTGCTGGTGGTTAATTAAGGGCTGTTTGACATTGGTATAGCATATAGCCAGGATCCAGGCTTCGTTGACCTTTAGACTCTCTTCCTTTTGTTAGTTGTTAGAATGTTTGTGAATCTCAATGCTCTATGCAGTTGCATGTAATAATTTGATGTGGTTGCCAGCACTTGTGTATGTCTCTGAATTGGATCTTGTGTCCTTTATATAGCAGTGCATATTCTGATTTGTCAAGCTGTTCTAGGTGGCAATGCCTTTCATGTTCTTTTAATCGGGTATTCATACCATGTTTTGTGGATCCAAGATAAACCTGGCAAAAACTGCAGAGGATGCAATCAACTCCCAGTGATAAGAGTGGATCTCAACTATCCTTAGATGATCAAAGTAATTTATTGGACTTTCTTTGTTGGTTTGTAAAGGATTATTAAATTGTGCTTTTCCAATAATTTATTAATTCAATCTGTAACTTTCTCAATATAAAGGAGTATATTCCCAGTGGGGGTGGCTTGTCCTTAGATGTACAGTGGTACCTCGGGTCACGAACGCTTCTGTTCACGACCAATTCGGGTCACGAACAGCACCGTTTGCAAAATTTTGCTTCCGTTCGCGAACGCCGGTTCAGGTGACGAAAAGGATCCGCGGCCATTTTCCCTGCCGTGACACATGGCCGTGGCTTCCTGTAGGGAGGGGGACTCGCCCTCCAAGCAATAACCGCCTCCCCACCTGCCTTCCTGTCCTCCACACCAGAAGTCGCGTCGA